GAGACATATGCTTCAACAAAAGTAGAAGCTGAAGAAAAATCCTCCAACACAATAACAACAAAAGCATAAGACGTGTATAACTTTGAATTGCGGGAGAATGCTGAAAATTAATTTAAAGTTATAGCAGAAAATCAAAATTATTCAGAATTTGATTTAATTAATTAATGTCTAAATAAAATTTCTTTTCATAATTATTTATGAATAGATTTACTGTTCTTGTTCAAATATATTTCGTATTATTATAAATAGAAGTATTGATATCTTATTTTATATGTGAAAAATATAAAAAATTATAGAAAATTCTTCAGAGAGATTTATAATAAAATACTTTTTCTCAAAATTGTATACAAAACTTTCGTTACAAAAAAAAAAAAAAGTTGCTAACGGTAGTTGTCTATCATATTTTTAATGTAATAGGCAAATTGGAAATTAGATAGATCTACAAATTGATGAATGCCTATCTTTCTATGCCTCTCTTTGGGAGCTGATGACAAGTGCAACGACAATTGGATATTGGTGACAAAGTGCATTAACGGGAGTTGGAGACAAGTGTTTCAATAAAATTGAGTGTTGGTGACAATGTGCATCAACGGAAGTTGAAGACCGATGCTTCAATAAAATTGATTATTTGTGACAAAGTGCATCAATAGGAGTTGGAGATAGGTGCTTCAACAAAATTGGGTGTCGGTGACAAAGTACATCAACGAGGGTTGGAGACATATGCTTCAACAAAAGTAGAAGCTGAAGAAAAATCCTCCAACACAATAACAACAAAAACATAAGACGTGTATAACTTTGAATTGCGGGAGAATGATGAAAATTAATTTAAAGTTATAGCAGAAAATCAAAATTTTCAGAATTTGATTTAATTAATTAATGTCTAAATAAAAAAATTTGTCATAATTATATATGAATAGATTTTACTGTTCTAGTTAAAATATATTTCGTATTATTATAAATAGAAGTATTGATATTTTATTTTATATGTGAAAAATGTAAAAAATTATAGAAAATTCTTCAGAGAGATTTATAATAAAATACTTTTCCTTCAAAATTGTATACAAAACTTTCTTTACAAAAAAAAAATAAGTTGCTAACGGTAGGTGTTAATCATATTTTTAATGTAATAGGCAAGTTGGAAATTAGATAGATCTACAAATTGATGAATGCCTCTCTTTCTATGCCTCTCTTTGGGAGCTGATGATAAGTGCAACGATAATTGGATATTGGTGACAAAGTGTATTAACGGGAGTTGGAGACAAGTGTTTCAATAAAATTAAGTGTTGGTGACAATGTGCATCAACGGAAGTTGAAGACCGATGCTTCAACAAAATTGATTATTGGTGACAAAGTGCATCAATAGGAGTTGGAGATAGGTGCTTCAACAAAATTGGGTGTCGGTGACAAAATACATCAACGAGGGTTGGAGACATATGCTTCAACAAAAGTAGAAGCTGAAGAAAAATCCTCCAACACAATAACAACAAAAACATAAGACGTATATAACTTTTAATTGCGGGAGAATGCTGAAAATTAATTTAAAGTTATAGCAGAAAATCAAAATTATTCAGAATTTGATTTAATTAATTAATGTCTAAATAAAATTTCTTGTCATAATTATATATGGATAGATTTTACTGTTCTAGTTAAAATATATTTTGTATTATTATAAATAGAAGTATTGATATCATATTTTATATGTGACAAATTTTTAAAAATTATAGAAAATCCTTCAGTGAGATTTATAATAAAATACTTTTCCTTCAAAATTGTATACAAAACTTTCGTTACAAAAAAAAAAAAAAAAAAAAAAAAAAAAAAAAAAAAAAAAAAAAATTGCTAACGGTAGCTGTCAATCATATTTTTAATGTAATAAGCAAGTTGGAAATTAGATAGATCTACAAATTGATGAATGCCTCTCTTTCTATATATATATATATATATTCAAAAAATCAAGTCATCTCACGTTCAAATTTTAGTAGCGATAAAAATACTAAGTTATTTCTTTTCATTTGTCTAAGTTTTATTGGATAGAATTATTTGTACTAGTAAAGGTAACATGTACCGGGTGAACTTAGTCGAGGTGCACACAAACCGCAAGCTGACCGAACATCACCGTTATAATTTTAAAAAAAAATTAAAAAAATCAAGAAAACTATAGTCCGAAATTAGCAAGAACCCCATTGGATAAGATAATAACGGAACTTTTTATTTTTCGTCACTAGTCAGGTTTTTTTTTTTTTTTTGGGGGGGGGGGGGTCATAATATGAGCATTAATTCCTTAATTGGATGTCATAATTCGTAACATCTCCTCATTTTATAACACTAAAACTTATAATCAAAGAACTGCGAGGCTGTTTACAAAATTACAAAGAAAAAGTAACAAAAAATTTAGATGTTTACCTCAGGCCAGTTCATGTTGCCAAAAGACCTAGTAGGTTTAGCAACTGCGAAAGAAAAATAAGAATCTAATTTATAATAAGTTGTTTGATTTCAATAATAATTGATACTGCAAAATCATTTCTGGGCCATAAAAATATGAGGCTGCAAAATTGCTACTTATTTTCCATATTAAAAGTATTTGTTAGCATAAATGAATAATGTAAAGAGAAAAGAATTTATGAATCCCTAATTGCTAGGTCTTTGTAGAAGCCCTAAACCCTTAATCAATTTCAGTGGAAAGACATCATAAGGGTTCTGTATGCAAATTTCTTGGGGTTTTCCCATCTTCTTTTTTCTTATTTTAACCATCCAGCAGAACTCGCCATATATATAATCCAGATTCGTTTTGAAAGAACTTGACCCGATTACTTCAGATTTGCACCATATAAAGCTTACCATAGAAATTTTAGGGTTTTTTACAAAAAGGGAATATCATTCTCAAACTCAAACCCGAGACGGCGAGAAAAACTTTACCATTCTTGAATTACTGGACTTTCCCCTCCCCTCCAAAAAACCCCAATCCCAAAAAGAACTGAGATGAATATTTAGAGAACTGCAAATTGCTAAAAATTCCATTAGTATGAAAAGAGAAAGAGAGAAAGAAAGTGGGTGACAGATAGAGAGTGAGCACGCATAGTTTCAAGCATGAATATATATATCTCATGTAAGAAAACACCATGTGTGCTCATTCTCTTCTGTCACCTCCTTTAATTACCCCAATTTATTTAGGACCGAAACGTTTTTATTATTGTTGTTGTTATCCGAATCTTGAAGTCAAGTCTTGGACTGCAAATAGTGAAATTTGGAACACATAAAATAAGAACCCTAGACTTCATAGAGTTGCTACTATTTTCTGTTCCATAAGAAGGGAACAAGGCTATTGATATATGATTTGAATTGTGAGGAAATAATGTGTAGTCTTGTGGCCTTTATATAGGATGAGAACTCGACAGTTTCATCACGTAAGGAATAAATGTGTGTCTCTCTTTATGGTAATACTTTTTTTTAAATATATTTGGGATAATCACAGGCACAAATAGATAAGAGATTTATATGTCCGCACTAAGCGGAAGAGTCCAACTCAAAAAATTACTTTATAAGGCACATTCAATCTATATAAACTCAATTACCAAATACTCTTTACTATGAATGGAAGACTCAATTGGTGCACAAATGTATATTATTTTTGTATATCAATGTCTAACATATATATATATATTGCTCATTCGGCTAGAGGATATAATTAGTTTTAACCGATATGTGTAATTTACCACAAAACAAAAACCCTTGGCTGACTTACCAGAACCTCTATATATTCAAGTTACTCTTACCAATGCTTCTTGTAATTTTAAATAATTTTTATTTATCTAGTAGCCACCCCTCATCCTTTGTCATCTTTATTGGCCAGAACAGTTTCTCAGTTGATGACAAGAGGATTACATGCACAAGTGAAGCAGTGAATTCTGAGTTTTCTTGCTATTTGGATAATTTCCATAGCTGTGAAAGCTGATACATAGCCATTGTTTAGATGGATTTCTCTTCTTTTAATAAAAGCTTGATATGCTTTAATCGAGATTTTGCATAACAGTTTCATATATTCTAGAAAATTACTTGTTAATTATAAGTATTTGTGGTCCAAACACACACCTGAAAATTAAAAGGCCAATGAAGACAACTGGAAATGTGAGCAACATGATTGATGCAATTACCTATAGAACACTCAAAAGTACTACAATTAGTAGGATTAGGGTTTAAGCAAAGGTCAGAGGCAAGTGTGTTATTTCTATATAAGATCTAGAAAAAATGTATTAGTTCTTAAACTTCTAAATTTATGATTTAACAATGTGACAATAAATAGTATAATTAACTATGATTTTGTGATAAGAATACGTGAAGACATGTGTCATATATTTACTATGTATTGACATAAATATCGTATATGATATTCAGCTTAAAGTATATATATTTATATGCATATTGCCTCGCATTTTACTCATGTTTTGTAGATTTCGTAATTTGTGCTAATTCATGGTATATTTATGTGTAGGAGCCATCCGAAGGTGATGTGGAACGAAAGTGCACGACTTGAAGCAAAAAGAGAACAAAAGAAGAAAGGTGGATAGTGTAGTGCCCAGGCTAGTGTGGGCGCTACCTGTGCCCCAATTCCAGAAGCAAGTTTTTTCCGGGTCCAATAAAAAAAATTAAAAAACAGAAAAATCCAAAACACATGTCTTTTATTTTCCTTTAGGTAAGTGTAAACCCCGTAATTTTTTTTTGTGCCTCGATTCTTTTTTATGGGATATAGTTGACCCTGGTAATAAATTTTTTTTATCTTTAGAATAGATTAAGATTTAGGAAATAAAAGGAAGAAGAATGATGTAATTCTTAGGCATCCTTGACTTGTTTGAGCCTATAGACTTTTATTTGGCACCCACATTACAAGTCTATACTCTTTTTGTTCATAATTGATATTATTTTGATCCTTTTACCTCTTAAGGCATTCTAATTGTGAAATGAGCATTAAAAGAAGTAAGAAGGGACTAATTGTGGGGTGACTTTTGAGTGGAACCAATGAAAGGAAGAAAGGTGCATTTGTTTTGTAAAAGAATACGCCACTAGTGAAATTGCAAAAGAGAAAAAAAACAAGATAAAAAAAGGGGGAAAAAATAGATGAATAAATATCTTATTTTTGCTAGTGGAGTGTAAATGACGATAGTGCTTAAAGAAAAAGAAAATATTTTTGGGGGTGATATTGTTTGTGAAGTTGAAGTTGGATTGAGGAAATATGTGCTTAAAGTTAATTATATGATATGTTAAAGTGCTTAGGAGGATGAACCACTATTCCTAAATATATCATACTCGTCTCTTAGCCATATTATAACCATGAAAAAGTTCGAATTGATTTTAGATCGAGCGAGCCTACATTAGTAGAGATCCACATCATGCGCAAGCCTATGGTACCAATCGCTTGTATGTGACTTCTTTTGTGAGAGTGAGCGATTTTCTTTGATATATGTGAGTCCTTAAAATATATTTGACCATTTAATTTGAATGTTTCGTATTCTCTTGTTCTGTTGTGAGGGCACAACATTACTAGATTAAAAAAAACAATTTGGATGTGTATATTGGATGATCTATCAACCATGGTCATTGGTAGAGTGTATATTAAAATAAAATAATTGAATTGCTCCTCTCTTGTTGATATATACATTGTTGGAGTGTAGTTGTTAGTTTCATTGCTCGAGGGCGAGCAAGAGTTTAAGTGCGGTGTTGATATTCAACTTAAAGTATGTATATTTATATGCATACTGCCTCGCATTTTACTCATTTTTCATAGATTTCAGATGTGTAATGTTATAATTTGTGCTATTTCGTGGTATGTTTATGTGTAGGAATCATCCTGAGGTGAAGTGGGATGAAAGTGCACGACTTGAAGCAAAAAAAGAACAAAAGAAGAAAGTGTAGCGCCCAAGCTATCATGGGGCGCTACCTGTGGCCCCACTTCCAGAAGCAAGTGTTTTCCAGCGCCCCACGCCACCCTGGGCGCTGGGTGGCGGAAAATTGTTCTAGTTTGCTCTTTCGGTCCTACATGGTCCCAACTCATATATAAGGGGTTAACCTACTTTAGAGGGATCTAACATATTTTAGGGAGGAGAACACGCCAATTTGGAGGGGAGAACATAAACCACGCTTGGAGGAGGCTTTCAACTAGTTTTTCTTCTCTTCTCTCCTTTAATTTCATAGTTTATTAGTTCTCTTGATGCTACATGAACGTTGTAGTTTGAAGCTTGAATTATTTTTACTATTTTATCCTATTGGTTTATTTATTCAATCTTGCGCTTAATTGTTTGATTGTTTGATCACCAATTGAATACTATCTATGAATCTAGGATTGAACCCGGGAGAGAAAATTCTAAATTTCATATAAGATTGAGTAGAGAAAGATCTTGAACCTGAGTATCGGGAATGGATTTGCAGTTAGGATAGGGATATACCTAATCCTCTTGCTTGGTTATTATATGGAAATTATTAATGCATTTTTGTTAATCCTAATTATTCCATAGGAATATAGTCGTTAGGTTAGCTTGAATAGACGATTAGTACTTCGGGAGAATACTACGAGTAATATTAACACTATCAACCAATAAACCAGATAATAATTAGACAATTTAAGTGGAAGATTCAACGGGATTGTTAGTTAAATCATAGCTCTAGAATATCGTCTCTCATAAATTCTTGTCTAATTTCGCCAACTTGTTTCCTTTAATCTCTTAGTTTGTTATTCTAGATTAGTTTTAGTTAAATATTCATATTTTAGAATTCACTTGAATATATTAATTGTTTAGGTTTAATTTAGTTAATAGTTAATCACAAGTCTTTATAGGTACGATATCTGGACTTATAATTCTATTTTACTTGTATGACCATGTATACTTACATGTGCGTTTGGAAGCAACAGTATACGACTAAGCTTATACCGTAATCACCGGTAAACAGAGATAGCAGGATTATAGTGGCAGTCCCCCACTATACCGCATTCCCCTGGACAAAAAAATTACTAGCATAAATTATATGTGTACTTCTGTGTAAAAAGATTAAGTTATAGTTGTATTTTAATGGATTATAACAGATTATTGATTACATTTCAAATTATTGATAATCACAAACAATTACCTATTATTGGAGATTAATTTTACTGTAACAAAATTGCATACTATCGGTGTACAAAAAATTAAGGGAAAAAGGGCATTATTATTCATGTACGTTTGTCCTCTGTTTCACTTTACGTCCATAATTCACCCTACCGTTAACAAACTTGATGGAATTGCCCCTAACCATAACGGATCTACACCGTGGTAGCTGACCCCTTCATTTTTTTCCATGTCAGCTGCCAAGTCACTCGACCCCACCAAATTAAAACTCCACTGACCCATTACATTCTCTATTGACAAAGAATTAGGACTCACACGACCCCAATTCTATTTCCTCACACCGCTATGCACATTAATAAGTAAAACTTGATTGGATGGATAGACTTCAATTAAATTATTCAGGGAAATAATAATAGAGATGGGTTTGTCTTTGTTGTGTTTTTAGCATTAGAAGCCAAAGAAAATATTCCAACACATACACCACGAATATGGAAGATAGATAGATTTAATTACTAGCTTTTTAACCATTTCAATTGGAATATATGTTTAAATCATGTAAAGTAATTGACTGCGAGTATATAAATGAAAGAGAAATCAAACATTCAGTGACAGAGCTAAAGAGTAGGAAAATTAATTAAAGTATAAAGAGATATCGTTGTATTCCATTGAAGTAAGATAAATTCTACTTACAGAGATTGTTTAACGAATTTGGGTATAAATTATGTATTTATTAATAAATCCGTCTGAAAATCGAGCGAAGATGGAAGCAGCATCCACCGGCGATGACGTCATCATAAAATCAACCGTTTTCTTCTTCCATCTCAAAAATCAACCATTTTCTTTTAGGAATTAATTCTAGGGCTCAATACTCTTAAAACCCATAAGTTTTCGCTACCCATTCTCCACATCAATCAATGGCGGCTCAGCCATTTACCAGAAAATTCTGCCGTTGTTAATTCGCAACAACCGTCGGTGGATTCCAATAATAAAACCTCCCAATCAGATCCATCTCCGGCATCGTCGATCCAGCCTTACTTTGTTGTACCTCCGTTGTTTCTTCTTTCTGGCGCCGCCAGCACTGGTAGCGGGTGAAAGAGATATTTGGGGGAAATATTTTGAGGCAGGTTGATGAAGGGTCACAGGTGGGCGACAGGTGATGTAATGGGGTCTGTAGGGTTTTAATTTGGTGGGGTCGAGTGACTTGGCAGCTGACATGGAAA